GCAAGGTTGTGTCATCTGCATATTGCAGGTTGTTAATGAGTCTTCCTCCAATCCTGTCAAATAGGATTTATGTAAAATAGCTATCACAGCTGTCTTCAAGGATGCTGGGGCTCTCTTCATAAATTTGCTCTTCACCATTGTAAAAGGCATGTCCTCTCAGCACTCCATGTGATGGGTCCAACCTGATAAAACCACTCTAACTTATCAGTTTCACTAAGCCTTTGAATACCTTCTTCTAAACCCTGTACAGGGTCGCTATGGGTCGGAACCGACTCGACGGCACTTAACAACAACAACAACAACAACAGTATATATATCAAGGTAGGTCTAGGAACTTGATTTAATTTAGGCCACTACTTAATCTATAAGGAGATCTGGTAGGGTAGTGTTTATGAATCCGGGCTGCTAATCTCACGGTCAACTGTTCCGCAGGAGAAAGGTGAGGCTTTCTGCTCCCGTAAAGATTTACAGCCTTGGAAACCCTGTACAGGGTCGTTATGAGTTGGAACTGACTCCACAGCACATAACAACAACAGCAACACTTAATCTATGCTTCAATGAATCAACCAAATAAACGTAGATCCTTTTCTAACTTCTCAAGTTGAAACATAGAATCTGTGCTTAGCGGGACTATGTCAATAAACTCACATTGATTCAGCTTTATGTTCCTTGTACCATCATCCCACATTCTTAATCTCCATTCTCATTCATATTCCTCAGGTTTCTGGTTTTACATATTAGAAAAATCAAGCAGTTCTTCTGGAGTGCAGTGTCCCTTCTCCTGGGACACTTGGTACTTCATCTCTTGGTATTCACAGAGACTTAATTCTAGTTATAAGTTGAGAAACAAAAATAAGTGGTGGGCATGGGTCCTAGGGACATTCAATAATGTCTTGCAAGGCCTTCCACCGTTATAGCACACTTGTCCGTGGGGGAGCAAGGCCCAGGTTCCATCTTCAAACATGACATTCAAAAGATGAAATAATACAATCTCAAACACCACCACCACCACCACCCCACGCTCTCTTGTCTGTCCCACATAGTGAAGCCTAGAGGTCTCCTGCTGCCCACCAGCCTCGCCTTCCTCCACCTCCTCTAAGGAGGAGGCCCAGCTGCGGCTGCATGGGTGTGCGTGTAGGGTGGGAGTCCTTCAGGTCCCCTGCTTGCTCCCTCTCTCTCGGGGTGCGATCTGTCTGGCTGACAGCGCTAGACCAGAGAAACGAGCGTGGAGACTTCACCTTGGGCTCTGGGAAGCAAGGGTCGAAGTTGGGCCTGGAGGCAGTGCAGCCTCCGTCTGGGAAGCATCTGGGGAGGTGGGAGGTGCATTCCTGGAGTAAAGACAACAGGTTGTGAAGCTACGCAGGACGAAGTACGTATTGACAGAGGGTGGAGAAGGCCTTAGCTCGGAGCTCTGGGCTGGGGGTGGTCCTCGCGCGCCATCCTGCCCCCAACTGAGCGAGTGCCCCGCTTCTGTTCAGGCGCCTCTCCGGCAGCCCAGAGCCTTTCGGATCGCTCTGCCGACCCTGTGCACCTCTTGGGGCCCCGTCAGGACCAGGCTAGGAGAGCTGCGTCCTCCCGGAGGCGGGCACAGGTCCCTGCCCCAGAAGTCCGTCAGGTACTGCCCGCGCCGTGCCAGGTCAAGAGTGGACGAAGGACCGCCCCCGCGCCCGTCCGACGGCTTCGCGCCGCGCCCTAAGAGGCGACCCCGCGGAGGTAGGCGAGCTGCCGAGACCAGCGAGCCCGAGCCCGGATCAGCGCCCCGGGGCCACGCGAGCTACTCAATGGCGGGTAAGTGTCCTCGCCCCTCCATCCCACCCACAGCACGGCGAACGACCCCCAGCTACCCACGCCTTCACTTTCGTCCAGCCGGGGGCGTGGGGTGGGGAGGGTGACGCCCTCCTCGGCTTTGCCTCCGGCTGGGTCCTAACAAGTTGCGGCGTGGAGCAGACGGTGAGGTGAGGCTCCACGCGGACAGTAGCGAGAAAGAAAGTGTGGGAGTCCCGTCTTCCTACCACCTCATCCGGTCAGATCCCGGAGCCCGGAAAACCCCAAGACTCTTAAGTGATCCGAAGGAGGCCCCTTCTTTGCCTGAGATAGGGAAAAAACGGTTAGCGCGGG